TGTCTTTTTGTAGAAGTCTTCTCTGTTCCATAAATATGGACTCATTCCTTCTTCTTAGTCAAAAGAAATATAAGGCACCCATGGAAAATTCATAGTGGTTTCTGTTCAGGCAAAGTCATGACTTGGAAAATAATCAGGCGAAAGTGTCTGTAGGAACCAAGTGGTGTATCTCACCCGTGGTGTCCAAAAACCTGGAACTGATGGGGGCTAAATGATGAATTGCACTGGAAGGGCATGAGTCATTAAGATCATTCAAATACGTATCATCATTCTCTTGGAACTCAAGCCAGGGAAAGGCAGCTTCTGTGAGCTCAAAGATTGCCTCAAGCAGCCCTTACAAGCAAAAGGGAAACAGATAGGTTATTTCATTGAGGTATTGAAAGTCTATTCTGACTGAGATTTTTTTTTTAGGATGAAGTGATACATCCACAGTTTGTAAACCTGAAAAAGGGTATATAATAACAGTAGCCACACCAGGAGTCCAGAAGATTAAATGTAACTAAATTTAAAGTGTTTAGAATAGCATCTGGCATAAAGGATACCCACCAAAACTATTGTTGTTATTATGATTTAAGGTAATGTACTTCTAGGGAAAACGCCATAAAGAAATGATCTTTTTGCTAAGGTGTTATTGCTTTTCAGAACCTGAAATAAATGTACTATTACTCTCTCTATATAAGAAATAGCAATAACACAAAAGCTGGTAGCCATTTTATTACCTGCTTCCAGATGATTTTAGTCTAGTCTTTTTTGGTTTCTTTTTATACCATTCAGTGGTGTTCCAACATACCTTTAAGAAATGATATTGTGAAGTCTATGACATCTTATTTTAGTAAAAATACCTTTTGTGTATCCTTTGGATACTGCTTCCAAAGTCAAAATTATGTTCGAACTCATTTGATGGAAATTAATTTGGGGCGGTTTTTCCCTGGGTATTCTTTTTATTCTCTTTCTCAGAAATGAGAAGCTAAGTTTTAATTTGAAGAATTGTCTTTCCCAAATGGGCATGTTGTCTTGTTCTCTTTAAATAAGTCCATTGACATGAGTCTGTTCATTTGCCTGAACAGATATATTATAATACTGTGCTTAATTCAACTGTGTCTGAAATAACAGACATTATCAACTAAAAATTGTATTAAAAATGAAATTAATGGTAAAACTGTAGCCTTTTATCCAATTCTTCAACCCATATTTTGCATTAGGGAGCCATTTAAATATGAAACTCACTAGAAACCCTCTTCCTAATTCTTAGTTGTTGTGCTATTCATTAATGATATATGTGTATGTGTATCTATGTATGTGTGCTATATACACACACATATTAGTTACTGACTTCACATTAAATAATTTATTTCATGATCCAAATATTATATTGATAACCCCTGGGGACTACAATGATGAAGAAACATTCCTTGTTCTCACAGAGTTTATAGTCTCACTGGGGAGACAGACAGTTAACAAATCTGCAGAAAATGTACAAAAAGGATGCAGAAAAAGAACAGGTGGGGGTCAACTAGCTATGATGACAAATTATCAGCCTCAGAGTGTAAGCCTTTAATTACCTCTGGGGTTGCACAGAAGCTAGAGAGGGGGTTTGTGTCCTATGTTCAGGTGGTGGTGAGCATTCCCAGAAGCTCTTTACAAGCAATACTAAATTCAACTACTGGGTGACTTTCAAGGTTTCCCCAGTCAGTAAAAAAGTGGTGAAACAAAATGTGTGATGATTCAACATTATTTGCAAGGAACACAAATCAAATCAAATTGCATGGTTCTCTTCAGATTTTAGTCAGAAAATAATTAAATTACCCATCTTTTTGTGAGATCTCTTATTCATTTATTGCCCACTTCCCAACTTAATCGGAAAATGATTCCCCCACCTCCTCTTCACACCAAGAAATGATGCTCAAAACTGGGCTAGAAGGAGAGAAACTAGGAACTCAATAGTCTGTGACCAATTACTTAAAAGTGAGGATTTCTTTCTTTTTTTTTATTACAAAAGTTTATTTTTACATCACTTTGTACATTTTTTTTTCCCATCTCAATTGTAATCCCCGCGGGTTTCCCATCACCAACTCACCCATGTGCCATCACCATAATCCCGTGCATTTCCCTCTCCCCACCCTGTTTTTGATCCCATTCCCCACTCCACCCCAAAAGTGAGGATTTCTTAACACAGCCGTCCAGAGAAGGCAAACATTCCCAGCACACGTTTCTGCAGTTCCGAGCATTCCTTTGGATTTATTTACAATTTTCAGGAAAAGGATTCAGGAATAGGTGTGAGGTGGCAACTTCACTCGGTGAGCTTGAGTCACTGAACTTGATGCATCTGGAAACTTGTCTCGAATTCTTTTCTTAATGAACGTAAGGATGTGGGCACGAAGTTGAAACAAAGGTTAGAGCTGGCTCCCCTTTTGTATGCATCCATGAGCTTTGTGGTGCGTGGTGCAATGGCCTCCCTGCTGGGATGAGGGATACGTCAGTACAGCTCCTCAGTGTCGTCCACAGAAACACGGCATGCCTCCCCTCAGCATTCCTTAGCAACACAGCCCTTGCCCCACAGCGTGGCCTGTGAATGTAGCCAGCTCTATGCTACCGCTTCCTGTATAATAAAAGCAAGTTGACCAATGTCAAACATGGCCTGGGTCAGCTGTTAACTTGGCACATTGTCAGAGGGAACAATGTCTAAAAGCCCATAATCCATTTAAGGAGGATGAGACAAAGTATCCCTGCTGTGGAAGGCCAGCTGCGAGATGGCTCCAAGTGCTCTTTGCCTACTGATCCTGGTGCCTTTGTTTAATCCTCCTTTCATGCAGCCTGGACCTATGGACCCAATTCTAAGGAATAGAAGAATATGGTGCAAATGACTAGATGTTACTTCTAAGACATTAGGTTTTGTGACTCCCTCCTCACCTTGATAGTCACATCTTATGTGATGGCTCTCACTCTCTGGCCCCCCTTGGCCTTCCACTGTGGAAGCTAAAGTTGATACATACTGCGTTGCCCTATGGCAAGGCTCATGTAGCAAGAAATTGGGGGTGGCTTTGGGCTAGCAGCCAGAAAGGAAAGCCTTCAGTTCAAAAGTCTGCAAGGAATGAAAACCTGTCAACAATTGCATGGGAACAGAGCTTCCTCAATTGCACATTGAGGTGACTAATATGTGAGAGTCTCTGAGGCAGGGCACCCAGCCAAGTTACCCCCAGATTCTGGACTCCGGAAACTGTGATGAGAAATGTTGTTTCAAGACACGAATTTGTTATACAGCGATGGTCAACTGCTTATGGAAAGAGTAAGGGTTGGAAGGGGAGCATGAAGGTTGGAGAGATACTTCAATATATGCATTTGTGTCTGTCTGACTCATGAACCCAGACAGGATGTTTCTAGTAGATATTCTACATATATTATTTATAACCATTGCAACCACCTGGCAAGAGTGGTGTTATTCACATATTTTTAATAAAGTCGAGTTCTGGAAACTCGTTTCTTTGGCTCAGAACCAAGGTAGAAGATGACAGAGATGGGAGAGAAAACCAAAGTCTGCCTCTGAAGTCTGCATTTTTTCGTCTGGAATAGCAGGTGATAAGAGGCAGCAGAGGGGCTGAGAAGAATGGAAGTCAAATTCTCCCATAGATCTTCTTCAAGGTGGTAAGCCACTTCTTTTGCCAGAGGTCTTGACATGCACTGAACTGAACCATATCACATAATGGAGTTGCCCTAGAAGAACACTTACAATGGACTTGTAATGGTTAGCCATCTCCCTATAATCAGAAAATTAAAATTGCACATTTCAACTAGGTTCAGATTGGGGATCTGAGACTTTAGAAGCTCTCTGGGGATGAGTAAGGCATGTGTTAGCTTATTTTCATTAAGTCAGAAATAAAAAAAAAAAGGGCAGGGAGAGCTCTACTATGTGTTGGGTTTGATATCTAGTCCATGGGTGCTGGACCCTCCCTCACCTACTGCCAAAATCTGGCAAAATGGATTTGGCTAAAATAAAGACAAATTGGGAGTTGAGAGGATGAGTGGTGAGTGCTGTTTCCAACTGATATAGGAACGAGGCTATATCTATCCTACATTAAACTAGAGTTGGAAACAAGGTTATAGTTTCCATTAACAACAAATATATATATATATATATATATATATATGGTACATATATATATATATATATATATGGTACAGATCTCCAATGAATATTACAGTTACAAAAAGATAAAATCCTGACACTTGCAATATCTACTAAAGGGAATTTGCTTATTGAAGCGTATAGATGAGAAAAGTCAAATGCCACATGATTTCACTCAGATGATGTATATAGAGAAAACAAGTAGATGATGCCAATCAAACAAAAAATGAACTTTGGGATCGTTTAATGTTTCACACAAGGGAAGGTGGAGGAGGTTGGATTGAAACAGGGGATAATGGTAAGGAGGTTAACAGAATTTATAATCTATCCACATTTTGATTTTGAATGATGCACACCAGAAAGTTAGAGAATGTCAATGCAATGTTATTTCAATTTTTGAAAAGCACAACTAGTGAAACTGAAGAATTGACTTTTTCCCTTAGTTTATTTTTAATTTACTTAGATTAAATAACTGTGTGTATGTATTTCATGGCTAGATATTGTGTTAGATATTGCACTTCTACAGCATATTATCTTTCTGGCATTTTTAAAGTCAATTTTTGACTAATATTTATAGAATATTTTCTATGTGTCCGACACTAAGAGTTTGGCATGTGTATTCATTGAATATTCACAAAATGAGAAAGTCAATGATATTATTTCCATTTTCCAAAGCAAAGAGCTGAGTTTTAGAGAAATGAAGTGACCTGCCTTGTGGCAGGAAGCAGCATTCAAAGTCAAGTGCATCTGGCTCCTTCCTTGTTTTTTGTATAGAGAACAAGACTAACCCAGAAGCAATGGAAGGTAAAAAAAAAAAAAATAGACACAAGACAATTAAAATGTAACTTTTAGAATGGGTTCTTCCATTTTATTGCTTACTGTAAACACTTTGGCTGCAGCAAATACATTAGTTTTTAAATAACCATAATTCAAAGCTTCCACACCATATACCATTCCCCCCCCAAGATGTATCATTTATGAAAATAATCAGTGAACTCCAAAAACTATACTGATAATGTGCACATTTATGCTATTGTGACACTAAATACAAATAGGAAAAAGACTCATCTATTGTAGGCCTGTGGGTTTGTGCTATGCCTTAAGGGAGGTCATAAGGTAACTCAGAGAGATGGCGTGGACTGAAATGGCTCTGATATGGGTAATGATTGCAGGACATAGAAGGTATACAGTAAATGTTTATCGAAGGTGCAGATGACGAAAATTCAATTTCCAACCTTTCCATTTTTTCTTTCAATGTTCCTCTTCACTTTTTTTCATACAGAATTTATGGTACATTTGCAACCAACATTCTGGAAGCTGGAGATCCTGGCACTTTGGGTCACAGAGCTGCAATATAACTGGGTCTGATCACACTTGCAAAAAAGAGATAAATTCAATCATTTGTACTGTTAAAATGGTGCTAAAATCAGTTACTAGAATAGGCTGGAACTCATGATCATTTCATGCTTTCATAAGTAAGGAAATCACTGGTGCCTCAAAATTAAGCAAATCATTCAAAGCGTATTTAGTTTTCCGAGCTCACTGGTAATGTTAGATCATATTTCATTTGGATCACTGTATTTGAAAATAAAATATGCTACTTTTATTAAATGCTTAGTTCTTTAACTATGAATACAGGGAATATAATTTATAACTTAGGACATTTGATTGTATTATCCAGCAAAAATTTAAGCATTATTGTGGGATTTTATCAAATTATGCTGCTGATGCATTTTAATTGCCAAGTGACAAAATATGTGGTCACTGATCCCCAATATTTGCTCATTGTAAAATCTTAAATGCATGAAAGAATGCACATAAAATATAGATGTTTAGGTTTCTTGTAGCAAAATATGGCACATTAGAATTTTTATTAAAAACTTTTACACCTAAAGGGAGGCCCTTCATGAAACCCCAGTTTTGGCAAAGGCAAATGCTTGATGTCACAATCTTAAATTTCCCACGTACAGCTTTTTCAAGGGAATAGATTATCAAAAATATTATGAAAGAGAAATAGGACTTTGTCTAAACCACATGGGAACGGGAATGGGAATTGCACGGAAGGGAATTGCATGGAAGGGAATCTGATATTCGGTTTTTCCTCTTTTTGTAAATTACTGTGTCTTCACCCTCACATTTGGAGATTTTTACTCCCTGAGTAAATATTTGGGAATATTTAGCTTCTTGTCATTTAATGTTTGAGGTTTTTTTTTTATTTTTTTGCTTAGAGAACTTGCTACAATTTCCCCCGACATTTGAGTTAAACTTTGTCATAATAAAGTAAAATAAGTTTAGGTAACAGCAAGTAGTCTTGAAGGGTTCTTGACTTCAAGCACCTTGAGGAACCACTGATCCTATTTCACCTCATAAATTAAATAGATAAGACTCACTTCCTCCTCCTACTTCCTTTCTTAGAGGCACAGAAATTTATCTGTCACCTACCTAACTCATGAGTAGAAATTTTGGAGTCCATCTACATTTGATTCTTTCTAGAACATGCCTCCCACCAGGTAGTCAGCCAGGTTCTGTGTGTGGTCTTGGTAACAGGGAGTTTGACAAAGCAATGTCAATAAGAAAGATCAATGTATGGAAATGAAGATCCCTTCCTGTACCCACTAACCGGAATTTCAAAATAGTGTAAGGCACAGAACAGGTTCTTTGGTATGTACTGACAAATGAAAGAACAGCCCCGATTCTGAATTTTAAAGCTATACAGAATAGAGCTGTTTCTTTATGTAGTCCACACTGTTCTCTTGTACATAATCTTCTTTCCCAGGATCAATATTGCACTTTTCTTCATCTGTTTACTAGGCAATATGAGTTAAAGAAGCTGTGTCTATATCATTACTCTTCCTTGAATGTGTTTAGGCTGATCAGCAGATCTCTTCGAATGTGATCCCGTCAAACCAAGAACATCACACTCCAGAGGGTGTTAGCTCTGTGTCGAGGCGAAACCCCATATCTCTCAGTCTGGATGTTCCATTTGAGTTCTAAACAAGTATTCCTTAGAGCACTCCTTCGCTATCTGCTTCTGAGTAGAGGAACTTTATTCTGGGTAAGATCTCTGGTTTGCACACACACTACTCTGGAAGAAGAATCATTTCCTTGGATTTCCTGGATAAGGAGGAGGTGGAGAACGCTGGGCTGACGCCTGTGGCGTTGGTGTGTAGGGCGGAGGTAAATCCGTGCAGTACTCCATCTCCTGGTCGTAACTGTAGGGTGGCGGAGCTGCTGGAAGAAAGGAAGACAGTATCAGGCATTCAGTAAATGTTTGTGTCGACTGCTTCAGGCACTGAGAGGAGACAGGTTTTTACCTGCAGGCATCTTGTTTTGATCATCAGAGGGCACGTGAAACGGGTGAGTGGTTGTCCATGGGGAGAATCTACGTATAAGGAGAATCCCTGTGGTTTTATACAGCTGGATGTTAAACATGAAAATCTTAGCTTTGAAACCGGAAACGCAGCCATTGGCCGAAGTATTTAAACGTGGTTGCAGAGGGGGAGAGTTTTGGAAGTGTGGTGCTGAAGGGGCTGACGGAGAAAGAATTTGGGGGTAATTCAAGTTTGAGGGATGTACTGAAGCAAAACAGTCATGGAAGAAAGAAATGGGGGAAAGACCTGAGGAAGCTGGTTGTTTCCCGAGTATGGTGGATTCTGAATACACATTTCCAGGGTTAGATGTGGGTACCGCTGAGGGCTCCAGGGTTTCAAAAACCGAATCATTCTACCGCCTCTGAGCAGCCCCTTGGGAGCCTCTGACAATTTACCAGTAGAATCATCATCCCAGTCCTGATTCCAGATGCAAAGAGACACGCTTCTTACGTGACTGTTTCCTAAATCATAGGACTGTTTGAGATAATGCAAACAGAAATAAGCAGCATTTCAGGGATACATATGCTTCTCCTGTACTCCTTGGATCCTCCGAGGTTGGCAATGCCAAGCTTTCTTTCCTCCAACAAAATGGAACTTCTAGGGAGTCTGAGTAACCCATTTCCTCTGTGTTATACCTACTCCTTTTACTAACCCTTGTGTCACTTTATCTAGGAGGATGGAGACAAAGAGACCATAAGTGCTAGCCAAGCCAAGACATGAGACATGCTCCTCCTCGCAAAATGGGAGTGAGAGCTGACTCCACACTGAATTGTTTTGTGGGAGCACATTGCCTTTAATTTTTTTTTTAAGATTTGTTTATTTATGGGTCCTCTCTGGTGGTGCAGCAGGTTAAAACACAGCACTAAGAAGCTAATGCCACTTCAGCATGAGTTCGATCCCCGCCTGCCCCGGAGGAGATCCACATGGCGAGGCAGACCTCTCCTGACCCGCCCGCTGCTCCCCTCAGCAGTGTACTTAGTCAGCCTCTTCTGCTTCCCACTCTGTCTCTGGTGAATCCTCTCACCCCCTACACCTCTGACCTGTACTCCAGTTCTTGTTTGCTTTCTTTTTTTTTTAATTTATTTTTGCACACAGAACTGGGGTACAGGCCAGAGGTGCAGGGGTGGTGAGAGGCTCACCCGAGACAGAGTGGGGAGCAGAACAGGCAGATCAATGAAGTACACTGCTGAGGGGAGCAGCGGGTAGACAGGAGAGGTCTGCCGCGCCATGTGGGTCAGCTCCCTGGCTGGGGATTGAACTCATGCTGCAGTGGCTGCAGATAGCTTCATAGTGCTGCACTTTAACCCCTTGAGCCACGTTTCCAGGCTGTCTGGATGCCGACACGTTTCCTGCCTCTCACTGGCAGAAACACATTGACTGTACAGATGACTCAACATCATTCTCTGCCATGAAGCCTCAGTGTGTGTTTATGCTTTGGTGACAACGCATTTACATTTTGCCATCTGCATAAAAGGATGCAGATGGAGGACATTTCAGGGAGAATCCCTATGGTTATGTACAGCTGGATGTTGAACATGAAAATCTAAGCTTTGTAACAGTACTCTTCCACTGAGATAGCCTTTGCATCCGTAAAGTGATATAATGTGGAAGAGTGGTAATTTGAAGACATAAACATGAAGTATTCTTTTCTAGTCCTAGATAATGGATGAAATTTTGAAATGATAATTATCTAAATGTGGGCTGTGTTATCTTTTATTTTCTTTCTTGCAGATGATAAAGTTTCACAAGGAAGCAAACTTCTCATGTTATTGATTTTAGAATCCTGATTAAGTCTGAGTGGTTGCGTTCTTTTATAAATGTCAAATTAATTTTAAGAGATAATGGATGTAGCTGTGATATGGTGCCTTTGCAATTCTTTTATAACCAATAATCTAATTTTCTGATTTAAGTAGGGCTATAAGCCCTTTATCCTTAATGTCATTTTAAGGTAGCTACAATGTTACACAGATGCTAGGAAATTCATTCAAGACATTTAATGCTTACACCCACTTAGGACACATCACTGAAATGAATTTAAAAGGAAAATGCGATGTTATCAGAATATACAACATTGTTTTAAAACACTCTCCATCCCTGGGGGCCAGAAGGTTCAGTGGGTACCTGCCAAGCTTCTCATTCTCAATTCTTCAAACAAATATTTTTCTTCTGGAAAGACCTGAGCAGTTTGTAACACATGCCATGAGATGATAATACTCTACTCCTCCTTGTTGACATCAGTGGCCCTCTCTGCCCCAGACTCTTATTCTTGGAAGATGGAGCATCCAAACTCAAAATACTGCTTTCTAGCATGACTGCTATTATCTTTCCGGTGGTTTCATCATTTATGTATTGAAAGGAATTTTGAGTCCCAAGATGGAGCTTCTGTAGGGGGGTGTGGAGGGGGGACATGTTAACCAACTGACAGTTGGAGAACTTTTGGGTATTGAAAATACCAAACACCTGGGCAGTCAATTTCCGAAGGCCAACTGTGGACTCTGCTATTCCCTGTCCTTCCCTTCTCAGCCAGAAGGTGTGGGCTAAGTGGCACTAGTGAATTGGCTATTTTCTATCTTTCTCTCCCTTGCTTTTTATTCTTTATCTAAACAAGTTTCCTGACTTTGCCCCACTTGGCAGTGATGTGACTATTTGCTGTCTTTTTAATCATTTTTTAAACACATGAAACTCTCAGTCCTGTCGACAATTTGCCTTCCAAAACTTTTGGTGTGACCAGTAATAGAAGCATTATTATACTATAAACACTATTTTTAGAATATTCATTCTAATATGAATGTTATTGAACCTCATCTGAATTTCCTGATTTGCTGATGGCCTTAAAGATTTTTAATTGTGGGCCCTCCCTGGTGCCTCAACGGGTTAAAGCGCTGCTTTATGAAGCTCTCTGAAGCCACTGCAGCACGAGTTTAATCCCCGGCCAGGGAGCTGACCCACTTGGCGTGGCAGACCTCTCCTGACCCGCCCGCTGCTCCCCTCGGCAGTGTGCTTCATCGATCTGCCTGTTCTGCTCCCCACTGTTTCTGGTGAATCCTCTCTCACCGCCCACATCTCTGGCCTGTACCTAGTTCTGTAAGCATAAATAAATAAATCTTAATTTTTTTTTTAATTGAGCCTGCTGTCTCTTCCTTTCTTGTCTTTCTTTATTCAGCTTAGATTTGTGGTCCATCCCTGAAATTACTTCTGTATATCTATCATCAACTTTCTTATCTTTTTCTATCCCAATGCCTGACAAAATGTCAATCCTGATTAAGCCCAGCACTTTGGCTCCCCAGATGTGTATCCAGGAGCTTATAGTGGCTAGATAAAAATGCACAATCATGTGATTGATCTCACCCTTTAGGATGGCCGTCCTTGGCTTTACATAGAAATGGCACATTTCATTAGGCATCTCGCCACCCCTCCATTCTAGGAGATGACTGCTTCATGCTTTCTTCCTTCTCCTCAACTATAAACACCTCATCAGCCTAGTCATAGCATGGGACTTGCTTCTTATTTCACTTAAAAAAAAAAGGTACTCTCTAGGGCCCTCCCTGGTGGCGCAGTGGGTTAAAGCACTGCACTAAGAAGCTGAAGCCACTTCAGCATGAGTTCAATCCCCTCCTGCCCCGGAGGAGATCCACATGGCGCAGCAGACCTCTCCTGACCTGCTCACTGCTGCCCTCAGCAGTGTACTTCCTTGATCTGCCTGTTCTGCTCCCCACGCTGTTTCTGGTGAATCCTCTCACCACCCTGGGCCTCTGGCCTGTACCTCAGTTCTGTATGTATAAATTAAAAAAAAAAAAATGGTACTCTCAGAAGAGACCGTTCTCATCTCACCAAACGTCTGTTGAGTACACAGAGGTACTCTGTTAGCTGCTTCTATGAACAAATACCCTGGCACAAATGGAGACTTGATTTCTTAAATATTTCCAAAAGATTTTAAAGCCTGAAAGCCAGTTATTTTCGAAAATATTTCTCTGGTTGGGTTTTTCAGATATGATTTATGCTAAGATTCAGGCGGTGAACTTCCAGGCAGAATATCAAATGCACCAAGTTGCCTCGTCCTCAGAGTAATACCCAAAGGTGCAAGAGGCTCACCCTCCCTTCTTCGGTGACATTAACATTAACTGGCTATTCAGGATTTGCCTGGTTTCTCTACTGTGTAATTGTTCTCTTTCCTATTAGAACTAACAAGCAATCTATGTGTAGACATCCTAAGAGCAAGCAAAAATCCTGTCTCTGAGCCAACTTTGCCCCTAGACTTAACATCAGTTGATGATTTTTTGTCCTATACATTCCTTTTAATGGTTTACAATGATTATTTCTAACCCACAATGCCCTTTCACATTTATACGTTGGCATTCTGTTTACAAGAATCCCTCTCTTCTTATCTTTCTCTCTACCAAACATATATCTGTCTGTCTGTATATCATCGGGACCCAATAATGTAGTTCAAATCTCAATTCTCTTGATAACATGAACTCATTTGCTTTCTTTTCGCTGGCATTTGATTATTATACATTTGCCAAGCCTTTGGTAAAGGTTTTTCAGCATAACTTTCCTTTAGAGTGCATTATTCAAGTCAGTTTTTAAAATTGGCTTGCCATAATCATTTTGTTTACATGGGAGTTCTGGAAATGAGTAAGAATGCAAGATTTGATAAGTAATTCTTATTTTACAATGACAGTTTTAAAAATAATTGTAGTTAAACAGCATACTGCTCATTCTGACCAAGATGGTTGGGCTGAATTTCTTTGGGGGTCACTCACAGTCCAAAAAAGGGTCAGGTGTGGCAGATTAACTAACCTCAGTGATCTGCTCCCCAGTACAGAATAATAATGTTCACTGTGGGATTCTCCACTCCAGGCTTTCTCCCAGGGATCAGATAACCTTGGTGAAATTATTTTATCCTTTTTTTATGTGGCCTCCAGGCTATAGTTCTATACAATAAGTCGAGTTGTTAGCTCAATTATCACAGGGTTAATTAATGTGGGTAGGAACATTTTATATTTCCACAGATGAAAGATTTTGAAATGCATTCAATACTACTCTGTTGTTTCCTGATCCTTTAAGTAAAAGCTTAATTAGTGACTTTGAGAAGGAAATGAGAAGTAATCAAGCACATTATGTTTGTAAAGACCTAGTCTTTTTGCAGCAAAAATACTTCTACCATAAGGCCCATTATGTTTCTTGCATTATTCAGTTCCCAGAACAATGCATTTACTGAAAATACAACATAACACTGTGATCTGGCAGTATGAATGATACCACTATGAAATTTTAAAACCATGTTTCCATGCATTTAAATAGAAATCTAAACCCCAGAAAACCAAGACTTCACTTAAATTAGTGCTATTTTGATTATGATTTTCTTTAAGATCTGCACATACAGAAAGGTAAAATAAAATATAAAATATTTTATGAATAAAATGTTTTAAAAATTAACTGAACTTTAATTTTTGACTGAACACAAATATACCTGGAAGGCTATATCTAGAAACTTCTCCCCAGTTAATGACTCCCTTGAGCTCCCCTCTGTTCTGCTCTTGGGTTGTGTTGACCAGGTTGAATGGGGGAAAAGTGAAGAATAAAAATAAATTCCTTTCTTCTTTCCTTTTAAGCCTAGTCCTAACGTCTTTACAGGAACTCAACAATATCCTTGGAAGGTTGAGAAAATTAGAAATTTTTAAATTACTCACACACAACTCACACAACTGTGTGTGAGTAAAAGTTGCATGCTCCAGATGTAAATAAGGTAAATTCTCTAGGAGTTGATGGATAGCTAAATCATACCTTACAGGAAGACTTTTCTTCCTTCTTGCATACCAAGGAGGGACCACCATGAGCTAGTACTTATGTTACATGCTTAGGATTGAGGAATGAGCTTACTAGACAGCCTTCTCTGCCTTGTGGTGACATATTCTGGAAAAAGTGGGTAGATACTAAACCACAAGCTAATGCTTACGTGAGGTATCTGACAAGATTAAGCACACTCTTGAATATAAAAAATAATAGGTTAGGAGGACTGAGGTGTTTTGTATAATTTTAAATAGATTTTACAGGATGGACCTTATTAATGTGGGACCTTTGACCAAAGACTTGAATTAAGTGAAGGAATCAGTGATCTAGGCAGAGGCTTAAGATGGGAACGTGCCCTGGACTCTCACCAAACAGCCAGGCAAGAAAATGTCACTGGAGCTGGTGAGACTAGAAAGACAGAAGTCAGAGAAATAAAGAGATCCTAATTCAAAAATTCAAAAGATTTTTCTTTTTTTTTTGATTTTAGAAAATATAAGGAAGCACAGATTTTTCATTCATCTGGGGGAAATGGAGTCCCACTAGACTATTTTGGGCAAAGGAAGGATATGATGCAGGATCTACTCTAGAAGGTTCTGGTTACTGTGCTGAGCCTACACTGCAGGGAGCCAAGGGAGTGTGCCCCAAGAACAGCTAAAATATGATCACAGGAGTGAAGGTGAGCGCTGTTGATGGCTTTCACCTGGAAGCCAGTGGCGGTTACTGTGGGAAGTTCAGATACTATATATACTTTGACGTTGATAAGAAAATATCCAGGTGGACTTCGGGTAGTTGTGAAGGAAAGTGAAGAGACGATGACTCTAAGGTTTCTGGCTGGCCTGAGCTACAGGGAAGTCAGAGATGCCATCAGCTGGAATGGGGAAGGCTGTGCGTGGAGGAAGATTTGGGGAGATGAGCAGAATTACAGATGCAGACATGTTAAATTTAAGATATCTATTAACTCTTGAGGTGGAAATATTCAGTGGGCAGTGGGATCAAATAAATCTGAAAGTCAGGAGAGAGAAGACACAGTTGAAACCACCTAAAGCAAAATGCAATGTTTAGTTTATGGAGTCCCATGTGTTCAGCCTATGTGTGGAACTTCCAGCAGATTCTCGACAAATACTTGTCACCTGATTAACATATTACCTTAACTACCTGTTGAGAATTCCAATATTATGTCATCACAATTTTCTTTACATATAGGGGACACATAAAATTTATCCAGTACCTTTTAGGAGACTCACTTACCTATCAAATGAGACACCAGTTTCTTCAGACATGTAACATACATGTTCTTTATAATTTGTCAGACTTTAGTGGCAGATAGACGCTAAGGCTGTGATTTGTTTATTTCTCATAACTCTGGCTGGTTGGCCATTGAAGTCAATGAGACAACCATGGACAACAGGAACATCTTAAACCATGAGCTTGATTTTACTACATGGATCTTCTGAGTGACCTCCATTCAAATCTAGAGGCTCAATCAACACTGATGTACAAATACCTCATGAACTTGGAGATTATTCAGTCAGCGTCTTGAGGGCTTCCTCCCTATAAGGAGTAGGATCGAGCAACAAACAAACAGACTCCTTTAGACGGAGAAAGCCATATTGCTTACCAGGATAGGAGGAGATGGCATTGATGTGGGTAGCCCTGATGACGCCCACACGGGTTCCGCGGTTGTTTTTCATGCACATGCAGATGCATATGGCAATTCCGGCAATGACCCCCATGATGAACACGATTCCAAACACGATGCCAGCGATCGCTGTGCCCCTAGGAAGAGCATAAAATGTGCGGTGATTCTTAAGCCATTTTAAAAAAAGATTTATTTATGCATACAGAATTGGGGTACAGGTGCGGTGAGAGGATTCACCAGAGACAGAGTGGGGAGCAGAACAGGCAGTCTTGACTAGGTACAGGCTGAGGGAGGTGGTGGGCGAGACAGGGGAGGTCTGATGCGCCAAGTGAGTCACCTCCCTGGCCAGGGATCAACTCCTGTTGAGGCAGCTGTGGCAAGCTTCCTAGTGCTGAGCTTTAACCTGTTGCGCCACCAGGGAGGGCCCCTCTTAAACTTTTTAAAGTATCTGAAAAGTGCTTCTTTGCAAATGATTTTAAAGATAATGTTGCAAAAAAAAAAAAAAAAAGAGTAATTCCTCCAATCCTCCAATCGGTCAAGTAAATAATCTTGTGTAATTTGAGGGATAAGAAACAGTTTATAAATCTCATTATTCAGATTATGGTTTTAAAAACTCATGCATTTCTATGGTGCGATTCTCCAGATATGCTTTCTAAATCAATAATTAAAAAAAAATAAATTCTACTGTACATTTACCTAGCAAATAACTTATCTACTGTTCCTAGACTAGAAGTGCTTAACAGAAACAACTTGATAAATGCCAAAAATTAAATAAAATTTACCATTAACCCTGATTAACATGCTTCATAATGTTGAACTAGACAATTTTTTTAAAACAAAGAAAACCAAACATCATTTTTCTACAGTATGTAGAGAACAGTTCTGACAAGTAAGTGTTGTGATTAAATCTAGGAAGGATTAAAGCAAAATTTATTTCCAGTAATCTTATTTTTCTCCAGAAAGTTTAACACATACCACAGGATCATAGAAAAAAGTACTGCATGAGGCAACATTACCATTATTTACAGATACCTTGACTAGTGGGAGCTTCCCTTTGTTCCCCTTTGGACAATAATAGGTGAAATATTTATCAAGATGCATATTTTCCTGGGAGGTATCATTTCCAGAAAAATATTAGAAATACCCTCATGTCCATATTTTAAAAATGTGGTTTAAAAAATGTGATCCAGCAGAGAATGAATCCTATTCAATGATTAAAAGGGTGAAGAAGTCCACGTGGGTTCAAATGAAGAGTTCATGATTTATGGGTAATTAATAAATTAATAGAACCTAAGGCGGGAGTCCTGGCAAACTGCTTTATATAACCAGGTCATTAGAAGAACAGGTGAAAAACTGAACTTGCAGCTGGCACTTGAAGTCGAAGAACAGGGTCTTGGGAACCTCCAGTCTGTAGCCAGTTGGTCATAAGCACAGTCAACAGCGTGGGCTTGCAATGGGTAACTGTAGCAAAGGGCTGTCTTGGGAGACTGAACTCTTAGCCATTGGAATCTTGCGCTCTATTCTACTAGATGGTGCCGTAATTGAGTTGAATTCTCAGATACAGTGCTGGCATCTGAGTTTCTTCTTGATGTGGGAAGGCTACATGCACACACACACACACACAAACACACACACACACACTGGAACTGGGTCCTGAAGCCCTAAACACTTATTTAAAGGTTCTCTATCACTGCTTGCAAGTTCATAGTGCAAGTCTAGATTTCCAGAGGTGAATTTCACAGTATAGGAGTACCTGAGGTTACTTCTTTAATTTTAATCACGAGTGCTCTTCATTTTTCTACTTTAAAGAATCCAGAAATTTCAGTCAGGGAATATTGGTCTGATTGTGTCTTGGTGCCTAGAGTTTTACCGTAAAAGTATGAACAAAATCTTCCTGCTTTAAGCTCAGGGATTCAGCCTCACTTTGCTGTGACTGTGAAGACTTTCAGGATAAGGCTTCATAAAAAGGGTCTTTGTGGCTTAAGACCATGATTTCTGAAGCCAGGCTGTCTGGGTTCTAGAGCTGGATAAACGTGGATAAGTCATTCAGCCTTCCACTGTATTTATTAAGAAAATGGTGTTCAGCTTGATGCTTAACTGACTCTCCTCTCCAATTTCATGTCATGAAATATCTGTGCTCATGATTCATTTTCCAGACATATAAGTTCTCATTTCAGCACCATCTAAATATCTATCCCATACTTTCCTAGGAAAGGTCCATCATCCCCCACCCCAAACCTCAGGGCCAGATGTGTCTCAGGAGTCTGGAATTTTTAAATTGGAAAAGGAGGACATCAGGTATATCAATTCCTATATGCACTTTCACTTTGCCAGTAAATTACGAAAGTACAATGTGAGGCATATTTAGATATGCTGCTATTAGGAATTGAGGAATGGAGGTCTAGCAGTTTAACAAATGAGTCTTTTTTTTTACTTTTGAAAATTGTGGTATAATTGGCATCTAACCTTATATTAATTTCAGGTGTACCATACCAAATGATTCACATTTGTATATATTGTGAAATGATCACCACAGTGTCTAGTTAATATTCATCACTATACATATTAACAAATAAATCTTTCCAAGAAAACAAGATTTATGCAAGGAGATAATTTGAAATAAGAAAACTAGAGGCAATCTAAAAACCTTTGTTTATTATAATTTTCATGTCTAAATAAGATTAAATTGGAGGATTTCATTTATGTTCCAGAAATAATCAATGGCCCAATTATTCAGCAAATATGTAATGTGGAAGCTGTTAAGACATTAAATTGGGACATATTTATATTCATTAATTCCTATTTCAATAGAGAAAAGTAGAAAATTAGTCATATTTTGTTTCGTTGTTGGCAGCTTCAGCAAAAGTGCCTGATTTTGAGGTCAGTAATGAGACTGCAGCTAATGTGTGAAAGGAGCTTTTTTTGATTAAATGATGATTTTGGTGTCCTTTGATCCTTTGACACCCATCAGCAATTTTAAATTAGATAGTTATGTAAGCTATAGCAAATATAAAACTTCTAGCATTATTTACTGTTATTAATTAAAGGAAGCAATAAATAACAGTAACCTCCCTGCATATATAATTTGTTTTAGTCAACAATTAGAAAGAGAAAAGCTGTTAATTTTGAAATTTGGCATAAAAAATACCTTGAAAAAATTTAGAGGATGGATTGTTTTTTTCCTTTAAAGACTGCATTGCAGGATGTGGCTAATTACTTCCTTTTACAAATTTGTAAATACAGTACAAAAATGACCCTGCACAAATTTCACCCTGTTTCCTCCAGTGGTTACATCTTAGTAACTACAGGAAAATATCCAAACCAGAAAATTGGCACTGACATAAAATGTGTACATAGTAATTTTTTCTAATTTTTAAAAAAGATTTATTTATGCTTACCCAACTGGGCCAGAAGGGTGGGGGTGAGAGGATTCACCAGAGTGGGGAGCAGAACAGGCAGATCTACTGAAATACACAGCTGAGGGGAGCAGGGGGCAGGTCAGGAGAGGTCTGCCAGACACATGGGTCAGCTCCCTGGAGGGGATCAAACTCATGCTGCTGTGGCTTCTGAGCGCTTCATAATGCGGTGCTTTAACCCGTTGCACCACCAGGGAGAGCCCTGTATATAGTCATTTTTAACACATTAAGAGATTTATATAACCACTATGGTGAACAAGAGGAAACTGCTCTGTGACCCCAAATACATCCCTTGGACTCCTCAGTCCTGCAGAGACACACCCGGCTACTTGTCCCCACTGTCAATTACCTTTGGCACCACTTACCCATCTGTTTCCCATGTCCACAATTTGATCACTTCTAGAGGGATGTACAAATTGAATTATAAAGTCAGTGACCTTTAGAGGTAGTATTGTTTTTCCACTCACAGTGTACTTGAAATCTATCCTAGCTATTATGTGAATCAGGCATTCCTTTTTGCTAATATGCCACAGTGTGGGTCTAATATAGTTTAACTATTACCGATTATAGGACATTTTGGTTATTTCCAGCTTTGGATTTTACAAATAAAGCTGTTAGGAACAATGAAATACATGTTTTTGTGTGGATATAAATATTCACTAACTATCCAAGAGTAGGATTTCTGGATATGTAATAAGTATGTGTTTGATTTATAGAGAAACTGCTAGATTGTTTTCCAATGTGGACATATTATCTTGCATTTCATCAGCAGTCTATGAGAAATACAGTTTCTTTGCATCCTTGCCAGCATTTGGTATTGTCATTATTTTTTGTTTAGCTATTTAGCAGTTTACAGTGATTTTAATTGGCATTTCTCTAAGGACCAGTGGGGTAGAACTTATTTTCATTAGCTTATTTTCCATTCTATAATAAAATATTTGTCCTTTTTTCATATTCTAATTGGAATGTTGACTTTTTTGCATTGAATTTTTGAAAGCTATTTATACATGATAGGTATGAGTCCTTTATGAGATATAGAGTCAGCAAACATTTTCTAGCCAAACACATGTCTATTAGTCCTTTTAACAGTCTTTTGTACAGTACAAGTTTGTAACTTTAATGAAGTTCAGCTGTCCATTTCTCTTTGCATTTCAGTTATTCAGGCCGGACTCTTTCTTGATTCTGCGTATTTTCCTATTGTTAGATAGGGTGTTTATAGATGATGACCAGAGGTTGGTGACGTTGTTCAGTCTATATCCTTTTTAACTTTCTGCCTAGTCTTTGTACTAGTTGTCAAAGGAGGGATCTTAAAATCTCCGACTAGAGTTAGAGACTTGGTCTAGGTCCTTCCAGCTGTACGCAGCTGTGGCCCTATTTTGCTGCTCTTCTCTTCTGTCTTGGCTCGCTACTTGACTTTGGCTGCTATGTGCTGGCCTGGGGCTGTATTCCTCTTCTGTGGCATTTAGCATAGTCAGATTAATATTGTCTAAATGTTTTCTGTCCAGCGAGGCTCCCTCTTTCTGGATCTTTCCATTGAAGAGCTCAGACTTATGTGGTGGCTTTAATTTTCTGTGCCCACTGGTTTTTCCAGATTGCCAGTTTCCTTATCTCTCAGTCTGGGAGAAAGGACACAAAAAAAGAAGACCCAGGGAAATCACTGCTGTGTTCTTCTTTAGTCCATGAGGGACCTAGGGACTCTGTTTTCTTCTTTCATCTCAGCT